TACACGTACACGGGGTGGCACGAGGGGCAGATACAAACCAAGAGTTCAAAAGAAGCGCTATTTGCAGTCCGTACGTCCTGTCTAATCGTATGGAAGCTAAAAAAGTTCAAATAAGTCAATATTTCAAAATTACCGAAAAATACCAATTTTACCGGGGTCTCCGTAAAATACGGTATTTTACCGTATTATACCGTTCTTTACCGGTAATATTACCGGCCTTTACATCCCTAGGGCTGAAGGGTCGTTAGGCGTACTCCCGGTCGGCCTGGTGGCGCCTGGTGGCGCCTGGTGGCCGTCGATGTGCAGCGACTGGAAGCCGCTTAGTGCAACTTGTTCGCCTCCGTGGGACGCCCCCTGCCCGCCCGGCTGCGAGTGCAGTGCAGCCGCCCCCGCGCCGCGCTGCTCTGGTCTGCTCCGCCGGGCGTGGCTCGGCGGCCGCCAGGGCGGTCATGCAGTCCGTCCGTCAGGCCGTCGGCGCCGTCGGGTCACTCAGTGAAAGTGGCGTTCGACGTCCAGAGCGGCAAAGCGATGTCCCTCATTCTGGTTCCCGCCTCCCGATCCGAGGAAATGAACTGATTTGCATAAGTCGCTGCATCGGAGCGACAGGCAGTGAGGCGCAGCGCCGCGGTGACAACGCGGCGCCCGCTTTCTTTTGGACGCGGCTACTGGATTCGGTCGCACCAGCGTCCGCGTTCAAGGTCCACGTCGAACGTCCTCGTCGAACGTCCCCGTCGAATGACGTCAACGTCGAACGTCCACGTCGAATAACGTTCACGTCGAATAACGTCCACGTCGAACGTCCACGTCGAATAACGTCCGGGTCGAACGTCCTCGTCGAGAGCACAACGACTTGGGTAGCCGTGCGACCTATTGCACTAGTGCACCGAGTAGTGCACTCATCCATGACTCCAAGGTTCCCTGGCTCCGCCCCCAACTGCAAAAAGGGCATGTTTGCTTCCTTGCTCTCTGGCGCTCAACTTGCTTCTCTCTTTCATTTGAGGCAGTCTACTACGTAGCAGTTGCACTCGCGCCTTGCTTCTCTCTCCTCTAGACGCATTCACCTGCTGTTGAAGCCACTTCTCTGCGGCTCACGCGTTCGTTCCCCTGCTGTTGAACTCGCGTCGCTGGGCTGTCGGACCCGCACTCGAGCCTGCCTAAAGTGATTTGCTGCTTAGTTTTCACTTAAGGGCTACCACTGGTGGTCCAGCACTCGGTATGACGAATTGGTGCGGTGGAGTCCCGGACTTCCCCCGCCGCGTGTTGTTCTGCTCGCCAGCGACGCCAGCCCGCCCGCGTGCGAGTGGAGCTCTGTCTCTCTCGCACCCCGGGGACGTCCAGTGGGCGTGCGAGAGAGACAGAGCGACGAAAGCAGCGCCCAAACGCCTGTGCTTTATCACGGCCTTGATGGGCTCGGCGGGGAGTGGCGGTCACTCACAATTAGCGCGCCGATGATTTGAGCCTCGAGGGACCTCGTCGTGTGTGTGTGTGTGAGTGTGTGTGTGTCCTACCTTATCCATGGGTTAACGTGTGCGCGCATGTGTGTGTGTGCGTGTGTCTCAGTTTCCCAATCATAACATTTCCGACAATGCGCGACTGACGACGGCCTGGTTTACGGCCAAGGCTCGGCCCGGCTCAGCCCGAGGCCTTGCCAGCGCTGTAATCATCGGCCCATTCGTCAGTCGAATCTATTGAGTCGGAGAAAGCATTATTGCCTTTTGCGTTATTATAGAGTCCTCCAAAACGGACGAATTACGCGGCCAAATGTCGCCCCGGCGGCCCTAGGTCTCGGGCGCGCCCGGCGGGCTGGTTCCGGCCGCTGAGCTTTTTCGTCGATTTGTCTTCCTCGCACTCAAGGAGCGTGCCTACTAGTGCGAGAGGGACAGAGCGTGGATTGTTCGGTACCGCTGGGCCGGGCCTGCCCCAAGCCCGGTCACCGTGATGCTCGTCGAGTCGGGCTCAAATAATGGAGCCCATGAAAATGGAGCCCATGAAAGCGATCTTTTCGCGCCCGGCTCGGCGATGGCTGTTATTCTCGTGAGCGATATATGCTCATCAGGGCCGGGAGGGCCGGTCGTACCTGGCGAGGTGGCTGACGATGTAGTTCTAGGTTTTTTGGACGGAGGCAGCCCGCCCTACAGAGGGACCCTGCAGACTGATAGCAGTGGTTTCGTCGCTCTGGCTCTCTCGCACTCACGGGGCGTCCCGCAGGGGGCGAGCGAGACGACGACGAAACAGCCCGCTCGACCGCCAGTCCGTCGCCCTGCTATCGGCACGATGACATTTCACGCGGCTTCCCTTCGCCGCCGGCCGCGAGAAAGTTTTTCATTTCCATCTAATTTGCAGTCCACCGGGGAATGGAATTGGCGACCGGTGCGTATATATCTTTCCGCGAGAGTTGCTTCTAACCAGGGTGTAATTAGCCGTTTTGGCCGGCGGTGCTGGCGGTGCGGGCGTGGGTGGGCCGAGGCGCTTGGACGGGACGGGGGACCCGCGAGCAACGCGAACCCAAACGGCCCGCGGAACGCGCGGAGCGGTCCCACCCGATAGCCATCTTCGCGCGGATCCAATTCGTGCTGCGAATCGGAGAAAGAAAATTCGTCCCGGCGAAAATTTAATGACGCCGAGTCTTCTGGGAGGATTCCGATGAGGACTGTCGGAGGTGTTGGGGGAGAAATAAGGGGGTGGAGCGTAGTGGGCTGGAAGACCGGTGGAAGCGGCCGCGGCCAAAGTTCTAGACGGGTTTTGAGTTTCAGCGTCGCTTAAAGGGACCTGAACCAATGGGTTCCTCACTCGGATAGCAATCTATTGGTGCGGTCACACGTTCGGTTCAAATCACATTTAGCGACACTGAAGCTCAAAACACATCTAAAGTTTTTGCTGCGCCCAGCGGTCTGCTGGCTCACTGTGCGAGATTGGGCCCCAAACGGATGAGGGTTGGCCACGCCGAACGAATAAGTCGAGAAACAAAAGAGAGGATAGCCTGTCTGTAGTATTCGCAGAGCTCCTCTGCTGGAGAGTGCGGCTTGCACTCACACATATAAATTGCCGTTATCTTGTCTTAAGTGACTTTGTTTGCTGGTGTCGTCGAAGAAGCAGGAAGCGTCTTCCTGGCCTCAAGCCGTCCGGGTAGCCGCCTCATCCTGGAGTTAAACCAAGTGCACAGCTCGCAGCGCCGCGTCGCTCGACGCTCTCACGGGCCAGGCAAGACTCCGGGACAAGGACCCTGCCTCATTTATAGGCTCGCATAACACCTTTTTTTGTGTCCCCGCCGGTCATATCGCGGCGCTGCCGCCCTTTCCCACCGGCCTGCGACGCCATTTTGCATGCAAAGGAGCGAGGCGACGGACGCCCTAAATGCAGATGTCGTCGTCTGCTAGCTGCGACTCGCAGCGCGCTGCGGTGTAGACGGCACCGTTTTATGCATCCGGAACCCCAGCCCTCCCCCTTCCCTCGCATGCGGCTTAAAATATTAAAATGCGCCGAGCCGGTCGCGAACGCGGCGTGTGTCGGTCTGTGAAGGTGCCGTCTTGTCGCATCTCATGTGCAGATGCGCGGGTTGGGGACTTTCTACCGGGTGGGCACGGAGCCTCTGTGCAGCCCTGAGGCGCTTTGCTGCCCTGTGTGTCGCTGTGAGGCTCTGTGTGGCCCTATGTGGCCTTGTGTGGCTCTCGTGTGGTCCTATGTCCATACGTGGCCCCTGTGTGGCCCCTGAGTGGCCCGTGTGTGGCCCCTGTGAAACCCCTGTGAGACCCCTATGAGACCCCTGTGAGGCTCCTCATGTTAGGCCCTTGTAAGGCCCCTGCGACACCCCTGTGATGCTCTTTGGGGCTTTTTTTGACCCTATGGAGGCTGTGTTTGGCCCTGTGAGGCCCTGTGAGGCCCTGCGTAAGGACTAGCATAGTCGTCTGAAGCTCTGAGGTTGCCACTGTGTGGACCCTGTGTCACTTTGTGCAGCATTGTGTGGGCCCTATGCAGCCTTGTTTGAGCCTTGTGTGGCCATTTGCGGTCCATGCGGGGCTTGGAAGGGTCGAAGGCTCGGCCCCAGAGCCCCGAGGGCGGGCGGCTGCTCCGGCGGCGCACTGTCTCCGATCCGTATCGTCCTGCTCGCTTATTGCCATTGCTGCCGGCTTCCCTGCACTTACATAAATCAAAACGACTCTTGCTTTTCGAAACGGTTTAGCGCTGCGCCGCGTTGTGGTGCTGCTGCTATATGTTCGCCTATCTTCCCGGTGAACGGCTGCTGCTGCTACTCTGTGAAAGAAAGGCTGAACTAGCCGAATATGGAAACCGATGGAAACAAACGGATCCCCTGCTCATTTTTTTTGTGGGGGACGTTTCAAGTCTCAGTGGTCGCTAGCAGCTTTCGGTTTTAGAGGAATGCAGCTTAAAAATTCAGTTTCTAACTAAAAATGTCCCTGGTACTTCCGCTGAATTTAGACGAAGGATGACCATGACTGAAGTGCACTGAAGGCTTTATCATAACCATGTTTTGAAAGTCATAATCATCAATCTTAGTTTATCATCACAGAAAAAAATATCAACTGAATTTGATCCATTTTCATTCTCTCACTGTCGCTTTTTTTGCCGAGTGAAAGAGAACTTGGTCTCGGGCCGTGTTTCTCCCTCTCGGTACAGCACGGCTAGCACAGCTGGTGGGCGGACGAGTCGGACTGCAAGCAAGCATGCTTCATTGAGTGGCTCACGCGGCGTCGGCGCGTCCGCCCCCGTGCGGCCGCACGCACAAACCAACCACTTATTCGCATCATGTGCAAACGAGAGAAAGTCAAGAGCGCTCTTCAAATTTGGCGCTGCGAGCGGCGGCGGCCGGCAGACTGATTCCGGAGAGGGGTTCGCTCTGTCTCTCTCGTACCCATAGGGCGTTCCGTTGAAAAGTGTGAGAAAGACATAGCGACGAAAGCACGCTTCGCTGTTTGATTTTGCGCGTGGGAGTGAGTGTAGCGCCGCCTTCCTCTCTAACCTTGCTCTTGCTTTTGTTGCAGGCGGCAGCGCTACGCGCGCGGTGGGTCCGCTGGAGCGGGGCCCCCCGAGGGGTCCCTGACCATGGCGCCCACGACCGAGGCCCTGGGCCACGACGGCGGCACGGGCTGGCTCGGCGCGGACTCGGCGGTCAAGGTAGGTGCAGCGCATGCAGCGCCCAAGGGTGGTGCAGCATTTTGATGCGTTTTGCTGAGGCCTCTGGCGCTGGATTCACAACTTCTCTTCAAAGAAGTAGCCTTCGTTGTGTTACAAGAAAATGTTGGTCTCGACACACTTTGTAAACTTGAGCGTGTACTCAATCCACAGCTTCATGTGTGCTTCATTCTGGATTCTGCATTGAGATAGGATATCAGGTACACGTCTCCACAGCTCTACCCTAAAGGATACTAAGCATCTGCTTCATAACTGCGAAGAAAAATAAGGAATTGAAGAATTGCTTCGTTCAAAGGATCTTGCCTCGTATTGCGACAAAGGATTTCTTCGTAGATTTAACAAAATCATTTTTTTCTTCGTATCACTACAAAGCAATGCTTTATAGACGTTTTACTGCGTACATGGTTGTCAAGTAGACATCGGCACATTCATGCTTGCTAAGTGAACTAGAGGGTTGTACTGAGTACACATTAAAGAACAGCGTATGGGAGCGGTCGAGCCAGCCATGATGGAGATGATAGGTATGAAAGTGTGTCCACAAATCGGTCACGAACGGAGCTTGGGTTCTCAGCCCAGGTCCCCCAGCGCGCTGTGCGGCAAAACGTGGCTTCTCTGTGGGACGCTAAATCTATTTCCAATCTTTGCCGTCTGCTATTTGGATACTGACTTACAACAGCACACCCTGTAAAAATGGAACCTTGGATCCAGAAAACGCAACTCGAAGCTCGCTATTCCCAGATCTGTGTGAAACTGAACTTCGGGTTGCTCCCTCCCAGATCTGTGCCATGCCAAACCTTGAACCACCAGTCGCGTCAAACGGAATGCCCGGCCCACCCGCGGCCGGGCCGGCCCCGCGCCGCGACCCAGTGCGAGTCGGTTTGTCACAAAGTGGAAGGACGACGCCGCCCCGTCGAACGCGCAACATAAGCAGCCAGTCGGATCATATTTCGGAGGTTTCGTCACTGGACTGGAAAAAGGCACCGCCCTGTGATTGATGCATAGTGGCGGTGTGGAGGGGGCGCAGTAGTAAGTGGTGGCGGTGGGCCCAACCCGTTGATGTGTTATTAGTTGTGTGTGTGTGTGTGTGTGTGTGAGTGTGTGAGATTGTGTGTGTGAGAAGGTGCGTGTGTGGTACGTCTCTGTGTGTATGTGCCTATGACAGTCTATGCCTGTCTGTGTGTGTGTGTGTGTGAGTGTGAACGTGTGTGTGTGAACGTGTGTGTGTGTGCGTGCGTTCCCCGCGGCATTGCGGCCATATCATATCATCAGCACCTCGTCCACGCGTCGCGGGCGCGCGCGTCGCCCGGCAGCTCGCGGGGAATAATGAGAGGAATAATGGCGACTGTAATTGCGGTTTTAAGACGCGGCCGATGGCCATTCCCCCTATCAACGCGCGCCGATCATTTTCGCGCGCGTTTTGCGCGTTGTCTTTGTTGTTTGTTGCTGTTGTTGTTGTCTAGCTGAATGTGTCAGCCCCGCACCGCGATACCGCTGAGATATTCGCCGTTTCCCCATTTGCCGCTATCGGCGTGGCGCGGGGCGTGGCCGCACGACGCCGCCAAGACGATCGCCTCGTTGACTCTCTCTCTCTCTCTCTCTCTCTCTCTCTCTCTCTCTCTCTCTCTCTCTCTCTCTCTCTCTCTCTCTCTCTCTCTCTCTCTCTCTCGCAAGCGATGCGGGACGCCCCATGAGTGCGATGAGAGACAGAGCGACGAAAACGACTCTCGGAGTCAGTCTGCAGGGCGGCGAGGGCGGCAGGCGCGGCAGGTTCATGAAGCGCTGGCAGTGCAGTGCGCCTCGCCGCCTTGAAGGGCAGTGCCTCGGCCGCGGCCGCCGTGCTTTCCCTGATCAGGGCATCATTATTAAGCGATGACGTCCCGCGTCGCGTCGGCCTCCCCGTCCCCCTCCTTTCCCGGTCGCCTTTCGCCGCCATGTAGGGGGCGGTGGCGGCAACGTCGCGGGCCGTTCGATCGGGGAAGAGTCCGCAGTTCCATTTAGCGATTCCGAAACGCTGTGGAAAGGTTCGTTGACGGTTAAGGACGCCTATGACTGAAAAGCGTAGCAGGAGGAGCTTTTCAAAGGGGACAAAAGTTTTTCCCTCTTTGCCTCCATTGGCACCTTTGATCGGCGCGCTGCCGCTTGCCCGCAGACTAAATCGTGTTCGTCGCTCTGTCTCCCTCGTACTCGTGAGGCGTGCCGCATCGGTGCGAGAGAGACAGAGGGAGACTCTCAGTGTGCCGGCCCTTGACTGGGAGAGACGCCAACGCTGGAGGGGAACAACAGTGTCTCGGCTCGATGGCGTCGCGGCTCTCGGATCGGCGCGGCTGTCGTCGCATCGAAGTGAAAACCGCTTTGGCTCGCCGTTTGGGAAGCTTTTCTCCTCTGTCGCTCAAGCAGGGCGGAGCAGGGCGTCGCGGTGCTCGTGGTGACGTCGCCACGCTGCACAGTGGGCCAGGAGACCGGCGCCGGCCGGCCAAAGCTCTAGACGTGTGTGTGTGTGTGTGTGTGTGTGTTTGCGTGCGGTGCGTTTTAATTGCCCCGGCAATGGTTTTACAATTTGACGAGGCGCAGAAGGCAGCAGGCTGTGGCGTGAATGGCAACCGCAGCATTCCATTCCACTTCCAGTGGCGTAGCCGGCGTAGCGGAGGAAGCCCCTTTCATTTGGAACCGGAAAAAAAACCGCTAATCGAACGAGTGGGGGCGGCGTCCACGTGGCCCAGCGGACACTGGCACTGTAAAAAATGAAAACAAGATAAAAAGTTGGACGAGGATGAGAGGTGGAGGTGTTTGTCCGTGGGTGTAGCGGCGCCCTGCGCCTAGGCGTGCGCTGAATGGCGCTTGATGCTCACATCCGATGAAGACTAATAAGGGTCTGTCTCGTCTGTATGGGCTGATGATTTTGCGCAGCGCTTTCGTCGCTCTGTCTCTCTCCCACCAGCCCAGCACGGGACGCACCGTGAGTGCGAGGAGGACAGGGCGACGAAAGCGCCTCAATCCACCTGCTGCGGCGTCGCACTTCGCACTCGGGTAGAAACGAACGGCTGGTCGGTCTCGACGGTGGAGCTCGTTTAGCGGCAATCGGTTGGGAATCTGGCGAACGTCTCGGCTGGGTGTGCCGTGTGTGTGTGTGTGTGTGTGTGTGTGTGTGTGTGTGTGTGTGTGTGTGTGTGTGTGAACCGTTGAATTTGGCGACGGAAACAGGCCAAGCCGACCCGTCGATAGTTGTAATTTCCGCCGGAGGGCGCTTGCCGTGCTCCGGCAGGCCCAGCCAGGGCCAGGGCCGCACCCGCTCCAGTCAGTCCTTTCCAGTTTGTCCAGCGAGACGCGTGGAAACGGATTCCGGCTTCCTTCCGCCGCCTGTCAGCAGCCGCGGCGGTCGTTGTCCAGTGTAGGGCCGTCGAGCTTTTGAGACTCGGGAGCAGAGCAGGTAGGCTTGTCTGGGCCGGAGAAACTAGACGTCGTGTTGTCGGGACGAATGCGGAAAAAACTGTATGCAATACAGCAGTGTCATCGCCGTGGTTCAACTCTGTTTCATTTCTGCCCAATTACAAACACGCGACGTCACAAAGTCAAATGGCCAGTCCGCTACCTCAAATTGGGCGCCAAAAAGACTCGTTTTGGTTGAAATTACGATCGTGGATGGTCACTGACATCGCAATGTGAACATTGGTAACCTTTTCGTGTGCCTGGTAACTTTTGTCTCTACTTTTGTTGCTAAAGCCGTTTCTAACAGTGCGGCAGTCTTATGATTTACATGATGGAACTCTGGAGCTGGCCGGCCTGCCTGCCTCTGGCTGCCAGTCCGTTTCGTGCCGCGCGACACTGGTTCGCGAGTCGAGCAGCGCGGGTGGGGCGCGGAGCGGGTAGTGCCTGGCGGGAACAACGACGGCACCGCAGACATTGGCTCGTCCAGCCTGAGTTATTTATTGGAGTCCTGAAGAAAGTGAGGCGGTCGGTCCCTGGAGTCCCTGGAGTCCCTGGAGTCCCTGGAGTCCCTGGAGTCCCTGGAAGTCCCTGGCATTGGCACAGCTCATTAGGCAGTGCGGAGGAGTGCCCTGGCACTGCGTGATGTATTACTCCGCTCAGATATTCACTGCTTTCTTTTCCACGTCGTTGGATCGATGCTTCTAAAAAAAATAAACAAAGAAGCGACAGTCTGAATGTCTTACAATGAAATTTGAGCTGTGTTTCAATAAATTTGGCGCAAGTATAAGGCAAAGCAAAATTTCTAGAATCTTTTCTGGATTTTCATCGTCGTATACGAAGAGAAACTTTTGAAATTGGTGGAAAAGCCACGTGTGTATTATTCCGGGCGTGTTTTCAGCTTTAGAGTCGCTAAATGGGACTCAAACTGAACACGTGACCCCACCAATTGATTGGTCTCCGAACGAGGAATCCATTGGTGGGGTCACCACGGCCGGTTCGAGTCCTGTTGACCGACCCTGGAGCTCAAAACGCGTCTAGACTTTTGGCCGCCTGCGCCGGTCCTCTGGCCCACTGTGCGCCCCGGTGCCCCGGCGTGGCCCGGGCGGGACAAGTGCCTGATTGAGCCGTACGGTAGCGGCCAGTGTAGCGGCCGGTCAAACACCGGTTCCCTGCCGATCGCCGAAAGTTAAGAGCGGTCGGCCTCTCCAGCGGTTATTGGAAGCAGCAGGTGCAAGGCCCTACTTTTATAGCTTTATCGTTCCGCGGTCCCACCTCATTGAAACAGAGTAGGGGTTTCCGTGTGTGTGCACTCTAAAAGCGGGTTTTCTGACCTATCCTCCAAATCGCCCATTGCCCCCATGTGCCCTCGACTCCCATCATTATTCTCAGAGAATAGTGACGTCATGCCATTTTCCGGAGTCACTGCATTTTGGTCGTTTTAACCGAAAGCCAGCTGTTGAACCCAAAAAAAATATCAGTCAGAATTACTTAAGACAGAATAAAGTTTCGAAACAGAATAGGAAACAGACAGATTCAACTTTCAATGAGTAACTCAC